TTTATCCAGTCTTTTTAGATAATTGTTTTAGGAAGTTTTTAGTTTGTTTTTTCATCTCACTGTTATAAAAAACTCAGATAACATTATAAGTATTTTTTAAAAATATATTTTTTATTGATTTCAAAGAGGAAGGGAGAGGAAGAGAGAGATAGAAACATCAATGATGAGAGAGAATCATTGACCGGCTGCTTCCTGCATGCCCCCTACTGGGGATTGAGCCCTTGACCGGAATTGAACCTGGGACTTTTCAGTCCACAGGCCGATGCTCTTTCCACTGAGTCAAACCAGCTAGGGCACATTATAAGAATTTTTAAATAATATAGTACACTATTGTAATTTATAGCTATAATTACCAAATGAAAAAAATCTCCTAAAACATAGCTTGCTATTAAATGTGTATAAGTTTTCTTAGGTTATTAGTTGTTAGATTGTAGTGACATTTTCCAGACCTGTGACTTATATCTTTCCTTAGCTTCATTAAGGTATTCATGCTAGCATTCCTTTTATTTAAGCTTTATTTGTATCCTTGGTTTGAAGAAGGCTCACAAAGAAATTTGGCCATCAGATGCAAACATCATTTTTTATTGTTGTTCCCACGTTAAAAGCAGTGCTTCCAACCAAAATAACTGGTATTCCCCTATTTTTCCATATTCACTATAACTAACGTCAGTTGTTTTAATACTCCTTTGTTTTGGAAAATATGTATTATCTGATTTTTTTTAGTACATTGAATATAATTAACATGTTAAAATCATTCTTTTATAATATAATGTTTCACATATACATTATTTTAGTCCTCCTGTTTCTACTTGGTTGTTATTCCTAGAGTATGACATTAACTAAAAATAAATGAGAGATCTATTTTGAACTTCCTGGTGAGATTAGTATCAAAGTCTCAGAATAGAAGTAAGCCATCATACACATACGGACCATCATTCTACAAAAATTTAAGTGTTTTAACTCTTTTAAATGAAATGGGTAAAAAAAAGTTTTAATGACTTTTCATATCGCTTATTGAGAAAAATTAGTTGATTATCCTGTTTGTTTTTCATCTATAATGTAGGAGGAGTAATAAATAAAAGAGTCAAGTTCTACTGCCTTGTATGTTGTTAGAGTCATTTCTAATTATGAAGCTAGTTCTTTGATGGCAGATGCTATACCTCATGTGTAATGAGTAGGGTACAGCTATGCCATTCTTTCTTTTTCTTTCTTTTTTCTTTTAATTTTAAGAGAATATTCTCTCTCTCTCTTTTTAAAAAAATATATTTTATTGATTTTTTACAGAGAGGAAGGGAGAGAGATAGCTAGAAATGTCGATGAGAGAGAAACATCGATCAGCTGCCTCTTGTACACCCCCTACGGGGATGTGCCTGCAACCCAGGTACATGCCCTTGACCGGAATCGAACCTGGGACCTTTCAGTCCGCAGACCGACGTTCTACCACTGAGCCAAACCGGTTTTGGCTCTTTCTTTCTTCTTTTTTGGCACACATCTTTGGATCCTTTTGCTACTCATTTATGATTAGGTAACAACCACAAAACAACAAATATTAGATCTGCTTCATTGTTTCTATTAAGAAGTTGAATAAGGTAGCAAATTTAAAACTTTTGATTAACTTTTAGAATTGTTTTTACATATATTTACTCTTTCCCATATAATGGTAATAAAGAATTGATATTCCTAAAGATGTTATACTTATTCTTTGAGCTAGTTGTTAAGCCTCAAACATGCAAAATGTGTTTAGTAACGAGGGCCTTGATAGTTCTTTTCTCTGCCTAGAAGGCTCTTGCCCCAAAGGGAGCATGCTCCTTCACTTCATTCAGTTCTGTTCACATGTCTTCTCATTAGAAAGGCTTTTTCCTTTTACCACAGCTGAACTAGAGAGGCAAGGGAGAGTGGTGCTAGTACCTACTCATTAGCAGTCATTCTCCATTCTGACACCCTACCACACAGCAACTACTAGTCTACTTTCTGTCCATAGATTTACCTATTATGTATATTTCATATAAACTGAATAATCAATATAAATTTATGGTCTTCTGAGATTGACTTCTTTCACCTAGGATATATTAGTGGTTAGTTCTCATCTTTTTGTTTTGATTTATTCCTTGGAAACATCTTTGTGAGATTTCAGCTGGAGCTCTATCCTTTGGCCTTGATATCTATAACATTCTTCTCTTAATAATTCTCTTTTTTTCCTTTTCCTCTGCATTCTAATAGAATGTGTCAACGTTTGTGCTGCATTTCACAATATGTTCTAGTATATTAATTCTGATGAAGATTTAATTTTGCTGTTGGATTTTGTTTTTTCTTAAGTTTATATATATTTTTCCAGATCCCTTTGCATCTCTTGCTGTTCTGTCCTTACAGCTCATTGCTCTTTCTTAATAAATAAAACTGAGTTTATCCTTTTATAGAAAGAAGACAGTAATAAAAAAATGTCCTCTGCCTATCCCCGAAGTTCCTGGTGTTTCCCAGGGCTTCCTTCCTCTCCTCCTACTCTACCCCTCTTCTTGTCCATTTTTAACCACTACTCTGGTTTTTTCTACCACCTGCATGCCAGTGACACACACTTCTATATAACTCCTGCCCTCACATTCTCATTGACTCTCATACTTTCTTTTGGGCATCTTCCTGAATATCATTCTTAAACAGGATAAGAGTAGTAAACTGTTTTATTCTTTGTCTGAAAATATTTACCTGAATGATAGTTTAACTATGTAAATTTTAGTATTTTTCTTGAACACTTTGAAGATAGTAGTCCTTGTCTTCTGGATGAACCTTGAAGAATGTTCTAAAAATCGATTGTGATGTTGCAAAAACCTGTGAATTGAATTATATACTTCAAATAATTGGATGGTATGGATTCGTGGATCTTTATATGCTAGATCATTAACCAATCTTTAATCAAGCACAATCCCAGCAGTAGCCCTACTAAGAAATATTTGTTCTTTGTTTAAATTTGCCCTCCATTAAAACAACTAAGCTTGCAAATTGGAAATGCCTATGCCATAGTTAATTTGCTATCTCACTAGGTCAACTCTTTTTTGTGCCTTTTCAGCATGATCCACTCAGAGGCTTTTGACTGCAATGGCATACGTAAATTTGGGTAGTTGGAAAAGTGAGCATTTTAGAGGCTCACCGGAAGGAAGTATTACAGAGTCCCAGACTAGAAATATACTTAGTGAGCAGAGCTTTAGTAATGGGAAAAATAGTCCATCTTGACATCTTGGATTTTTCTGTCTATTGGAAGACATGGATCAAGAGAATAATCTTTGGATCTGATTTCTAATTTTATTTTATTACACATTCTGTGATTACACGAGCCTCTTGCCACTCACCTTTCAAACAAACCATCTCAAGTATACCCTTTTCCATTCTGTGATTTTAAGGGATTTCCAAGTCTTTTTAACATAGAATATCAGAACTGGAAGGGGATTTTATGAGTTATCTAGTTTAACTCTTGATTTTTACAGATGTCCATTTTACTAGTAATACTGTGATACTTTAGTTTGTCATTACTCCTGAGGTGAGTATAATGTAGTACTAAGAACGGCACTAAAATGACAAATGGAAGTGTAGTGGGAAATCTTGTTCATGTTCATTATTAGTGAAACCTGAATTTTATAAAGTTAGTGCTCTTGTTTTGTTTCCCTTGATTCATTCAGAGTAAAACAAAAACAGTCATATTATATGTAAACTTTATTATCATATTATATGATAGCTTTATTTTCATTTATAAAAAATAGTATTCCTATTCTAACCAATATTTAGTTTTGATATTAATTGGAACTTTCTAAAAATTTCTCTTTAGAAATTTCTAAACAGAAATTTTAAAACAAGGTGATTTGCTAAATAGAAAGGAAAGAGGTTGGTCCAGACAACTGGAGCTGAAGAGGATAGAAAAGTCAAATGAGAAATGAAAGCATGCACATGGATCAATGGTTATTTTAAAGATGAAGAATATTATATATAGTGTTAGGATTTTCTTTCTTTTGCTTTTTGATCAGTTTTATTAAAGTACTAGTGCCTGGTGCATGACATTTATTAAAGTACTAGCACCTGGTGCATGACTAGCACTGGGGCAAGGGGCATCCCTCAGCCTGGCCTGCACCCTTTCTGCAGTCTGGGAGCCCTTGGGGTGTTTCCCACTGATTGCCAGAGGGTGTGGCCAGCCTGCAAACAACCACAGGCCCCTTGCCCAGGCCACCCCACTCCATAAGGGAACCCCTGCCTTGATCCAGGACATCCTTCAAGGCAAACCAGCTGGCCCCCACCTGTGCACCAGGCCTCTATCCTATCTAATCTTATGTAATAAAAGAATGATATGCAAATTGACTGTCACTCCAACACAAGATTGCTGCCCCCATGTGGTCAAAGATTACTGCCCCCATGTGGACTCAAGATGGCCATCTCAAGATGGCCAGCAAGGGACGCAGTTGGGAGAGACTAGGCCTGCAAGGGAGGGCAGTTGTGGGCAATCAGGCCAGCAGAGGAGGGAAGTTGGGGGCGACTGGGCCTGCAGGAAAGGGCAGTTAGGGGGAACCCAGGCCTGCAGGGGGAGGCAGTTAGGTATCAATCAGGCTGGCAGGGGAGTGGTTAGGGGTGATCAGGGTAGCAGGCAGAAGTGGTTAGGGGGTGATCAGGGTGGCAGGCAGAAGTGGTTAGGGGCAATAGGAAGCAAGCAGGTGAGCAATTGGGAACCAGCAGTTCTAGATTGCAAGAAGGATGTCTGACCTCCCGTTTAGGTCCGATCCTGCTGAAATTGGGCTTAAACGAGCAGCTGGACATTCCTCGAGGGGTCCCAGATTGGAGAGGGTGCAGGCTGGGCTGAGGGACACCTCCCCATACCCCCGTGTATGGATTTTGTGCACCGGGCCTCTAGTAGCAGTATGTTTATATATATATATATATATATATATATATATATATATATATATATATATATATATAAAAGCCCTATGTCTTTATTAATGTTCTGTCTGATTTTTCTCTTTTAGGAACTAAAGAGATTTCAGAACTTTGTGGAACATTGTCCTCCTTTTGATGTCGTCGTTGATGGGCTCAATGTTGCCAAGATGTTTCCTAAAGTTCGTGAGTCTCAAGTTGTAAGTATAAGCTTTATTTTGTTATTCCAAATCTCTAGAAACTATTTATTGTACCCACTTGTGATCTTCTTGGCATCTCATAGCTCCCCATTTTTCCTTCCTCTAGAAATAAAGCTCTTAAAGGTGCCATAGCAACCAACTGCTCAATTAAGATTTCTTGTTTTCATCTCTGGAAAATAAGTGGCTCTTACAGGGTGAGCAAGAATGACAGATTAAAAAGTCCACATAATAAAGGGCCAGTTCAGCCCTTTTTGTAACCCATAGCTAACTTTCTACTTTCCATTTACTCTGTAATTTCCTTGTAGGTCACATCCCTTATTTGAAAATCTTCAGCATATATTATCAAGATTCATTAATCATTCATTACTCACATTTGTTTTTTTCAAACATGTTTGTAAATTAACCTAAGCAGGGTTTTTTTTTGTAAGGTAATAATTTTTTTCAATCGGTTTATAGATGTTATAGTAGTTTCTAATAGGAATATAATGATTTTTGTAGCAGTCGTGAGCAATTATTTTAATCCGCATTTTACAGTTCAGAAAATTAAAAAATTGAGGCTAATTTTATATAGTAAATCCTTAAAAATATCAAAATTAGTTTGTGGAGAGCTCTGAAGTTTCAAGCTTGTGGCTCTTACTGCTGGCAGTCTATGGTCATTCATTTGTAAAGTCTTATTTCTTAAAAATTGCTGCCGACTTAAAAGTGGTTTCTCAGAGATTCTACTAGAATACTTTGCTGTTTACACTCAGAAAAAACAAGTACTAAGAAGAAGGTTGATTTACAGAAACTTCTTTATATGTCTTTTCTTTATATTTATGCCTACTTTTTTATAGTCAAGTATGTACTTTTTAATCCTTTTTTTTTTTTTTTTTTTAAGCAAGTATAACATATTTTCGTCTCTTAGGCACTTGAAGGAGCCTTTGAGGTGAGAGGGCAGGGCGGGGTGTGGGGGCAGGCAGGGCGAGAGGGCAGGTTGGGGCCAGTCCAGCTCCAGGTAACTGGACCCTAGGCCTAACCCAACCAATCAGGTCAGCCAAGGTAGCAGCACCACCCTCCCTATAAAACCCATTGATATGTTAAGTTCTTCCTCTTTCTCGCCCATGCCCTCGGTGGTGTAGGTGAGACTGGGCTCGGACTAGTCCGAAATAAATACAGGCTTTCTGCAATTGCATCGGATTTGGCTCCCTGGTAGTCTTTGGGGTTTATGACACTTGGGCATAACAGAGGCAGTAACATTGACAAAGGCAAAGTGAAAAAGGAAACACATACCCTGATTCCCTGAAAAGAAGACAATGTCTTATATTAATTTTTGCTTCCAAAGATGCGCTAGGTCTTATTTTTAGGGGATGTCTTATTTTTCTTTCTTATTCATTTATTTATTTATTTTATTTTTTTAAATCAATCTTTATTGTTCATATTATTAAAAAAGTTCCTCATTTTTTCCCCCTCCACCAGGTTCCCACCCCACCCTCTGCCCTTTCCCCACTCCCCATAGGTGCACAGTTTATGTTCAGTCTCTTCCCGCACCCACCACTCCCCTTCCCCCCCAGAATTGTCAGTCCACTCCCCTCCTGTATCTCTGATTCTATTATAATCAACAGTTAATATTGTTCATCAGTTTTTTAATTTCTTTGTGTGTTTTTTAAATTAATAAACTTTTATATTTTTAAGAATAAATTTTAAAATCTAATAATTTTAAATCTTGTTTTTTTGCCCTGGGAACTGAGAAGCAAACTTGTATACATGTAAACTTGCCCTTAGGCTATCAAAAGGCATAGCCATTCAAATGTAAATGAACACATTGTTTAAAGATAGCTGCTGGCTGGAATTGGATAACCTGTTCTGGGTGGGAAGGGCTTGTCCTTCCCTTTCTCCATTAAAATCAAGGTGTTAGCTTTAAAACCTCTTTTTGGCAAGAGACCTTAAACTTTCAGAACTTTAAATTTCTCAGGTAGCAAATCAATTACTTAGCATTTTCTCAAATCAATAATACCTCTACATTCCCAAGGATACACTTCAAACAAAAGACACATCCAAATAGATCAACAAACCTCATCCAGACCCCACACAAGGCACTCACAGATCAACACCACAGCGCTATAATAACTCAACAAATCCAGATCTAAGCCTTCTTCATTTGATTCAGCAGACCCTCAAGTTCCCCCAAAAGCTTCCAGCCATGTCTGAGAAGCAGCCCTGGGGCATGGGCAGGCAAGGAGCGAGCTGTTCGGGGGCCTGGCTGCTCCTGGCCTGGCTGCTGTTGCTTCGGGCCTGGCCTCTGTTGCTCCAGGCCCGGCTGCTTCGGGCCCGGCTGCCGCCACTCCGCACCCAGCTGCTCCGGGCCTGGCCACTGCTGCTGCTCCGGGCCCGGCTGCTGCCACTACAGGCCTGGCTGCTCTGGGCCCAGCCTCTCTGGGCCCGGTCACTCCGGGTCTGGCTGTTCCGGGCCTGGCTGCTGCTGCTCCGGGCCAGAAGACCCTTTGAATTTCAATACTGACGCTGCTACTTAGTACCTTACATAATTTGAGCAAGTTACCCTCTTTGTTCCTTAGTTTCCTAGCATGTAAAAAGGAAATAATAACAGTATCTATGTTATAAAGATGTTGTGAACAGTAAGTAATTTAATGTATGTAAGCTTGGCACATAGTAAGTACTTAATAAGTGTAAGTATTATTGTGATTACTACTCAAATGAACTTCCCAAATGGAACAATAATTCTTGCTTTCAATAGACTCTTATCTGTCAGTATAAATTTTTTTCTATCATGTCATTCATGTTAATAGAGTTAAAAGAAAATGCAAAACTCTGCCTTAGAGTTAGAATCAAAATAGGTCTAATACTATCAAAAACTTAAGAAAAATTTTAAGTATCTTTTAATAAATTTTATTTTCTTCTGATTATAAAAGTAATGCATGATTGCTGATTATAAAGTTATTGAGTGTAAAAATAATTCAAGTAATTGTAGAAAAATTGGAAATTACAGAAGAGAAAATCATATATAATTCTACTATGCAGCAATAATCACTGAAATATTTGAAATGGGAAGGACCTTTGAAATATACATAAAATCCAAGATCCCTGCCCAGCTGGCATGACTCAGTGATTGAGCATCGACCTAGGAACCAGGAAGTCACGGTTTGATTCCTGGTCAGGGCACATGCCCGGATTGTGAACTTAATCTGCCATGTAGGGCGTGCAGAAGGCGGCCAATCATTGATTCTATCTCTCTCATCATTAATGTTTCTCCCTCTCTCTCTTTGCCCTTCTCCCCCTCTTTCTCTCTCCCAAGTCAATAAAAATATATATTTTTTAAAAATCCAAAATTCCGCCGAAACCAGTTTGCCTCAATGGATAGAGCGTTGGCTTGGGGACTGAAGGATCCGGGTTCGATTCCGGTCAAGGGCATGTACCTTGGTTGTGGGCATACCCCAGTAGGGGTGTGCAAGAGGCAGCTGGTCGATGACTCTCTCTCATTGATGTTTCTGACTCTCTATCTCTCTCCTTTCCTCTCTGTACAAAATCAATAAAATATATATTTTTTAAAAAATCCAAAATTCCTAATGGAAAGAATAGAGAAATTTCCTAGACTGTAAAAAATATTATAAGCACTGTTAAATGACAACAACAAACTGAAAAATATTTTTTACAACATATATAATAAAGGGCTAATTTCCTGACTGTACCAAAGACTTATATGCCTATAAGGAAAAGATGAGCCAGGCAATAAAAAAGTAGTTTAACTTTATTCGTATTTACAGGCATGCAAATTAAAACATTTATGTTCCAGATTGGCAGAGATTTAAAGGTTGCTAGTATCCAGTATTTTGAATGGTTTGGAGAGGTAGGTGGTGGGTGATTCGGCAATAACTTTGAATGCCTAAAAATTTGAAATTCTACTTGTAGAAACTGATATATTTACACAAGTACATTAAGTTATATATTCAAATATGTTAGTTATAGCATTACTTGTAAGAAGAAAACTCTAGTCAACCTAAATATCAATCCAGGAACTGATATATATTGAAACATCCATTTAAAATGAAGTCGGTTTACATTGAGTGGCCAGATTATTATGATCTCTGAACACATAATAATCTGGCCACTCAATGTATATATGTATTCATTAGAGGCCTGGTGCATGAATTCATGCATGGGTATGGTCCAGCCAGCCTGGCTAGGGGAGAGGGGACATGGGCAGTTGGCTGGCCTGCCTGCTGGTTGAACTTCTTCTAGTCAAGGGGATAATTTGCATATTAGCCTTTTATTATATAGGATATACACTGATTGGCCAGATTATTATGCATTCAGAGATCATAATCTGGCCACTCAGTGTATATGTGCTGATACAGAACAAAAGCTAAAATAAGGGTCAGAAGCAAATTGAAGAACAGCAAGCTTAGTTCCTCACTTGTGTTAAAAGCAAAACCAAAGGATTACCAATATATAAATGTTTGTTAAATAAGTTTATATATGTCTAGAAAATTTTTAGAAATTATACACACTTAAAAACTTAATAGTGCCCTACCCGGTTTGGCTCAGTGGATAGGGCATTGGCCTGCAGGCTAGAGGGTCCCAGGTTCAATTCCAGTCAAGGGCATTTACCTGATTTACGGGCTTGACCCCCCAGTAGGGGGCGGGTAGGAGGCAGCTGATCAATGATTCTCTCTCATCATTGATGTTTCTATCTCTTCCTCTCTCTTCCTCTCTGAAATCAATAAAAATATATTTTCCAAAAAAAACCTTAATAATTAATTTTTGGAGTTAGGGATAGAATATAGGGTGCGACAAAAGTAGGCTCATGAGTACATGAAACAGTTTATTTTTATATTATTATTTATTATTGTGTTATTTTACACATGAACAACTGTAAGCCTACTTTTGCCCCAGCCTGTATTAAGAGAATGAGAGATTTCAATTTTCCATTTCCAATTTCTTAAATTTTCTTTAACAATGAATATATATTATTTTAAAATAAGACATAAATCCACATTACAAAAAGT